ATCACACTGACTGCTCATATTTAGTTTACAGTGCACTCTTACCCCAAGATCTCTTTCACGTACACTACTCCCTAGAAATGTATCCCAGTATTTGTGCTTGACATTTGTGGCTCAGATGTAACACTGTGCATTTATCTTAGTTGAACTGCATCCTGTTTGCAACTGCCCACTTCTCCGGAGTATTCAGGACTTGTTGAATTTTAACTCTATCTTCTTGGGTGTTTGCTACTCCTCCCAGTTTGGTATCATCAGCAAATTTAATGTGTAGCCCTTTTACACCTTCATCCAGATCATTGAAAATATTGAAAAGTACCAGGCCCAAAACCGAGCCCTGCGGCACTCCGCTGGATACCTCCCTCTAATCTGATGAAATGCTACTGACCACCACTCTTTCGGTGCGGTCCTCTAATCAGTGCTCTACTACATCCTGACCAATATTATGGGCTGTAGTTTTCACATGTGGCTTGATCAACTCCGAGCCTTTTCTAAAAAGTGATATGGCTTTTTGAGAAAGACTCTGGAAAATTCCTCTCACCCTTGCTCTGTACACGACAGGGGCCCCATGGAACCCGTGAAGACCATAACCAGCCTGTGATTTCCAATAAGACCTGAACAAAGCAGGGTCTCCATAATCTTTCAGCATTACCACCTTTTCCAGAGCGGAGGTGCAACCTCAAACTGATCTGCCGTACTGGAACGGCATGAGACGGTTCTGATCTGTCTTTACATGAATGCCGATCATTTCATTGTGGTGTTCACGGAGCATCAAATAGTGTGGCTTATCATATGTGATCATGATCAACTTGTGAGCTTTGCGCTGTCAAGTCTCCCCAATACCTGATGGTCTATGATAGCTGGGTAACCTTCCAGTAATATCAGCAGCACTGTGGATTTTTCTGATCAGTGTGTTGGGGGAGCTCCCATCACATAGGCTAATTTTTCAGTCACTGAGATGGAGTAAATATGGGGCCCATTTAAACCTGATTTTCCTGATCACTGGGTCAAGAAACACAGATCAGGAGCAGTCCAAGCCTCTTCAGTCAGATGACTGTTTTCCTGTAACAGATTGATTTAGAGGAAATTGTCGTCTCAAAACAGCCCTGTGGTTTGGTGGTTAATGGATTGCTTTGGAACAAAGAGTAAGTAATGTTTCTTCCATGAGTGAGAAAATAGAACTAAGTTTGAATTCAAGGATACCTTTCAGACCAACAAAGTTTTATTCAAGGCACTGGGAGACTCAAACTTAGTTTTCACATCTATTTGTTAACTCTTGTATTCATATGCTAATTTACTGCTACTCACAGATCTTACCAAATGCTTTAATCCAATCTCAGCTATAATCACCCAGTTACTTATGCATCTTGACTAACTAGCCCTTCCCGGCAACTAACTGTTGTAGGCAACTAACTGTATACCCCCCCCACCCTCCCTCTATATGTAATGGTTGAGGAAGTGTTCTCAGAGCTCTCTCAGCCTCACCTACCTCACAGGGTGTCTGTTGTGGGGAGAGGAAGGGAAGGTGATTGTAAGCTGCTCCAAGACTCCTTCGAGTAGTGGAGGGCAGGGTATAAAACCAACTCTTCTTCTTCTTTCACTGTATCTGAAGAAGTTTGTAATGAGTGTATTGCTTGAGCCACACAAAAATAGTTGTTACCCATAGAGCTAGAATCTTTTGTTTAAATAAGCATTTTGAACTGTTTCTAGATTTGTAGCAAGTATATTGCTTGAGCCACACCTTTTTGACATGAGATATCTGTAGCAGCAGCAGAAGCTCAACAGGAAGGAAGTGAGGTTGTATCTATACCTCTATAATTACAACTGATGTTTCTCCCTCCTTCCATCACATTAGGGTAAGGGAAGTCCAATCCACCTGAAGTTCATGCAAATTGAAAATTTGAGGGCTGAAAGGAAACTAAAATCAATAGAAGACAACAGACCTGATCACAAGTCATCATGTCTTGGAAGCCAGAAGTAAGTATAAGGGATCTTCTAGAAATTAACTTTCCTGGGGTGGGCTGAAGATTGGGGTTCTGACTTATGGTGACCCTATGAATTAATGTCATTGAAAAGCATCCTGTTATTAACAGTCTTGCTCAGGTCTTGCAAACTGAGGGCCGTGACTTCCTCTATAGAGTTAATCCATCTCATGTTAGGTCTTCCTCTTTTCCTGCTGCCTTCAACCTTTCCAAGCATTATTGTATTTTCCAGTGACTCCTGTCTTCTCATACTGTCACCAAAATACCATAGCCTCGGTTTAGTCATTTTAGCTTCTAGGGAGAGTGAAGGCTTGATTTGATCTACAACTTGCTTGTTCTTTTTGGCAGTCCACAGTACCCATAAAACTCTCCTCTGACATCCTATTTCAAATGAATCAGCTTTCTTCACTGTCCGACTTTCACACCCATATGTAGTAATGGGGAATACTGTGGCATGAATTATCTTGATCTTGGTTGCCAGTGATACAGGTTCACGCTGCGTTCTGTGGACTAAATGTGTTTTGGGAGCTCCTTGCAGAAACTTAATTTTGAAGCACATAGGGTCTGATTCAGATTGGAACTACCAAATGCAGGGAGGTGTAATTTGGCAGAGATTTCCACCTTGGAATCATTGCATACTGGTCCAGTTATCCTAATTTTAACAGAACAGTATAGAAATGACTTAAGAGATTTTCTGAATTTAGCAGTCTAGACAGAGTCTGATTTTTTTTGTAATCCATTTCCTGCTAATGTCTCCAAAGCTCCAGAGGTGCTTCTGGTGGAAATGATTGATCTGCAATGAGATGTGGTTCCCAACAATAAGATTGCAGATGTTTGCATTTGCAGATTTTATCAATTTCTGGGTCCACATTATCCCTAAATGAAGTCTTTTGCATCAGAAACTCTGTTTGTTTGGGCAACATAGCTGTGAATACCTATTTTCAATAACACAATTCAAAACTACATTATCAGGTTACTGACACATACCTGAATACAATATTCAAAGTTTCTATAGCACAGATATTTGCTCCAAATTTTAATTCTCTAACCTAACCCCTTTCTTCCAACCTGAAGATTTGTGCTTTGGCACTGCAGCTTGGCTAATTAAAGGCTTGCTTCTGTGTTTCATTTCCCTCTCCTTTTGCACTTGCTACTGAGGGGACTAACACACTTGCACACTTTTGGGGAGAAAGGTTAACCACTGCATACTTTAGGAGAGTCAGGCTAAATACTGCCCCTCCCACCTTTTGTTCCTGGTACATGTGAGTCAAACAAAGCATTAACGTGGGTCATAAGATCAGAGCAACCCCACTGAAAAATGAAAAGAATTCAAACAAGAACATAAAAGCACACATCGTGTATGATAACACAACAGACTAAGCAAGGATAAAAAGAAATGTGAATAAAATGCAGTCCTCTAAAATTTGAGTCTTACGTATTCCTCCAAATTGTAGTAAGAGATAGGCACTATAATTCTTGGAGCTGCAAGCATTTAGAATCCATCCATTACCTAGTGTGATAGAAGGAAGGGTTGGAAGCTCCCTTGTACTACACTAGAAGGATGGTTAAATTCAAAAAATGGTATAAAAGGAGACAACACAAAATACTAGGAACCGCACAACATACACACAGATTTTCAAATGAAAAGCAGTGAAGTCAGTCTAACTTTGCTAGGTACACTTTACCTAGTCTGTAGTAGATTCGTTAGAGCATATGCAGAGTTCCTTGCAGTAACAAAGTGTTGGAGGGACCTTTAAGCTCTACCCAACATCTTGTGGACCCCAGTTTTACATTGTTCCACTGGAAACAAGAGGAAAATCTAAACTTGTCCAGACATTTATGGACAACAGAATGTGACCTATACCAGACTAGACTGACTAATTGAGTTAGTCAATCCAATGGAAACTCCTTCTCTGATGTCAGAGGCTGTCACCAATCAGAAAATTACCAAAATGATAGTTCCTCCTGCCAAATAGCTGTTAATGACTCTGAACTTCCATTGCAAACAAGTTGGATTCCTTTTGCCTAAAGTGGATTCCTTTTGCCTAAAAGACTTATCTTTGGTAAGGTGGCTGTAACGATTCCTTGTTTCTGTGTGTGTGTGTCTCTTTAAAAGTTTGGTTGCATGGCTGTGGTAGATAGACTAGAGTGGTTGAGAGATGCAAGTGTAGTATGATTGGTGGTTGACAGAGAGGGGGAGGGGCTTTGGAAGTGAATCTGGTTGGATGAGTATGTGAGTCAGTCAGTAGTTTCGGTTAGATATTGACAGTTGATGTTCAGTTAGAGTTAGTTCTGTGTTGAAGCAGTTATACACTGACAGCTGCAGTTGTTCAGTGAGACAGAGAGAAAAAGCTGAAAGTTGAATGTATAGGAAACAGTAAAGTAAAGTTTAAGTGACCAACAGTTAAAGGAAAGTCTGAGGGTCATAAAAAACGGGAGAGAAACAGTGAACACATATGGCATTGAGATAAACAAGTGTTACAAAGTTGCATGAAAAGATCCCTGTCAGTGAGGGAGAAGATTGTGTGTGATACCAAAGCAATTGTTCATCATTTACACATTACTAGTTACATTGTACCACCCTCTTATTTAGTATTTGTTTCAATAAATCCCCTTTTATCTAAGTTTATACCAACTCTGAATGAAATACTTCCCAGGACCATATAGTTCCTCGTAAGCCTTGAACTCGGTCTACCAAACTAGTAAGAGCAACATTATAAGCATAAAGGTTTGGAGTTTGGAAATCCTTAAAAATTCCTGGTGGCAGCAGATTCAACCCTGTTAAACTAAATAAAGAGAACTTTTAAAGGGAAACCAGTCCTCCCCAATAAGGAGGATGTCACAGTGGCTCAATGTGGAATGGGAATTAATGGGTCATTCTAATGTAAACCCCAGGGTCCAGGATTCCAGAAGCTCTAGAGTGTCTAGGGGGCACTCTTTTGCCAAACTGACGTTTAGGGGGGTTGTCACACCTTGGTTTCAGTCACTGGTCATCCCCTGATGAGTTCGGTTCTGTTAAATAGTGGGTTCCATGGATGAGAAGGCTCGAGTCTAGTGATCAGCTCAACTTTATTTGTGATTTCAGCAAGATAAGACTCCAGAGCCTCAGCTTTGTTAAATAGCATGCAATTGCCACATCCAAACACACCGCACTCCCAGTGATAGGCTGTTTACATAATATTACTACTAGATTGTTTACTTTCAGAATTCTGTTAAGCTATTGTTCTTGTGCTCCAAGCTCAGCCAGTCTCTGGGGTGATTCAATCAGGAAAGATTCAGGTTCAATGTGCTCATAGCTACTTTTTGGAGTCAAGAGTCCTTCTCCATGGTGAGACAAAATACCCAAGAGACCTCCTTCAGAATGCTGAGGGATTTTATTATTTGCCTTACCCACCCACCCCAGCAGGCCCTC